GTTGAGGTGGGATCGGCTTCCCTGAAGAGAAGAGTCTTCAGGGAACGCCTAAAGACAGTCAGGGTGGGAGATAGACGGACAGGTTGGGGTAAAGAGTTCCAGAGGATGGGAGAGACTCTGGAGAAGTCCTGGAGGCGAGTATGGGAGGAGTTGACTAGGGAGCTGGAAAGCAGGAGGTCTAGGGAAGAGCGGAGTGGACGGTTAGGGTGAATGAATGAAGGTATCTATATCCCGGCATCCTCTGAAGCATTTGGGTGGGGCCCCCAATGTTTACTTGGCTTTATGGACTGGTACTAAGTACCACCATGAAAGTAATTTATCATTTGTGTCCAGGGCATTTCCATTGGGGGAGCTGGTTTTCTCTGTCTGCCATATTGAAGACCACCTGTCCTCTTCCAAGGGTCTACTAAGGTCAGGGCCATTCCTATGAAGAGGCAGCCTGAGGCTGCGGTCTTAGGCAGTATCTCTTTGGGTCACATGGGTAAGCATTGTTTTTTTCCGTTTGCACTGGACCGGAATGCAGGCAATGTTTTGCCACGCTTCCGATGGCACTGGGGGGGGGTGCAAGAGTGGTGCTTAGTTTCCTGCTAAACTGTTGATGGGTTGAATGTTCTGCATACAAGCTATGTAATACCTAGTTGTGCGTGTAGGGTTTCCACTTGGCCTTCCAGCATAATCTTTGGGCTCCCCAGATTGTTGGAAAAGACAGTCAATTGTATGTAGAGGATATATAACTAAGTTCTTGTCTGTTTCTATGTAACAGTGTAAACACAACTCATCTAAAATTGCTGAATTGCTGAAACCCGGAAGGAGGCCTGGTTTTCTGTGTGTAAGTTGTAAATGGAAATCCCAGTGTGACATTAAAGTGGAACTTGGTCTTTTCCTTCGTGGGGAGGATTTCCCCAACTAACTGATTTGGTGCCGGAACGGCCTGGATCGCATCCTGGCCTGCTCCATGCACTATTTTTTCTGACCGGAATGCAGGCATTCATGTGCCATGCGTTTGGGTGCTGACCATCGCACTGTGGCCGGGGGGCGTGGCTGCGGTGCCAATTACTTCAATGCACCGCCAGCCCCCCTCCTGCCCCCCAACGAAGGAGTTTAGTGTGCGATTAGAGTGCATTCCAGCAACTACTGCTCCGGAATGCACTGCAGTTGGTGTGAACTGGCCCTAAAAGTGGGCAAACTGGTTCAGCAGATTATCTTCTGATGAGTACGAGCCACCCATGACTAGATTGTTTTGCTGGTATCCCTCAAAACCCAAGAGGGATCACCTGGAAACTGATATCAGACCGCAGTAGAAGTGGCTGTTGTGTAAGTTGAAGTGGAGGAGCTGGGGGGGAGGGGGGGTCTTAGGTTCACTTCCAGAAAAGGAAGAAGTCTTCTCCAATGGGGAGATGCTCACTGATGGTCTATGGCGGGGCAGTGGTGCCACCATAGCACAGAGGCTAAAAATCCCTGTCACCCCTTTATGCAATGCCGCTTCACAAGTATGGACAGATCACTGGAGCATGCGCAACACTTCACAAGTCTTGTCCAACCGGTCAGCTAGTTTCTCAGTATCTGTATCAGCGTGTATTTATCTGATTTTCTTGTTCCGGATCTTCTCCAACGCACACAATTTGAACGCCTCTGTGCTTCAAACCCTCACTCTCCGGGAGTTATTTCTTTTCTATACTCCAAACTTCTTGGAGTGTCTCGGTTGCCCTGCTATGCCGATAGGTGGTCATCTGATATTAGTGGTAGACCCCACCCTGAGGCTTGGTCATGTATTTGGGCCAATACCCGTAGAAGTTCGGTTAATGTGTTGGCCTTGGAAACCAACTATAAATGACTCATGCGCTGGTACTTGGTCCCTTCGAGAATTGCCAGAGTGCTGCCATCGTATCCCTCTACTTGCTTTAGGGCCTTGGTTCTCAACTGGTGGGTCGTGACCCAAAAGTGGGTCGCCACCCCGTTTTCAGTGGGTCGCCGCAAGCCTTCCACTTTTCTAGGTGAGAGGCTCCTCTGCCTCCCCATAGCGCAGCACTGTCAGTTCTCTTGCCGAGCAGCCATTCAAAATATGCTGCCCGGCACCGAGTGTCAGCTTGAGGTGGGGTGGGATGGGGCTATGGCCTTGAGAGAGCTCCATTCTGTTCACACTACTACAGTGCATTAATCACATAGTACCCTGCGATTAACGCACTTGTACCACGCAATCGCACCTACTGGGCATTCTGGTGTAGGAGCTGTGTTGCGTTGCCATTCATTTGAATTGCACTGCAAACGCACCTCCCACCCACAGTTCGTACGCCCCTTGCACCGGAAAGCGCGGTACCCTAATGCCGTGCATTCAATTGCATTGCGACTTGGGTCGCGACTTCATGACCGAGGACAAATGTGGGTCCTGAGGTTACACAGGTTGAGAAGCACCGCTTAAGGCCCCGTTCACACTGAGCGATTTATCGCGCGGTATCGCTCTCCAATGCTTGGCAATGGGGCAAAGGGTCCTGCTGTCGCGGGTCGTGTGTCGCTACAGCAGGACCCTTTTTGGAGCGGATTTTGCCGCGATTCAATGCTTTTCAATGCAAGCATTTGCGCGATATCACGCAAAATGCAAATCGCGTGACAATGCGAATCGCCAAGTGTGAATGGGGCCTTAGGGGATGTCAGGCGGAGGGGACGTTTTCCTTTATTTGGTGGGAATGGCCTGTGGTCTCCTGATTTTGGTCCCGGATCTTTAGTACTGTGACGGTTGTGTTGGGTTCCTCTCCTCCTGGAGTGCTTCTCAACAAGAAACCAAGTGGTTTTTCTTCTACGAAATTCCAAGTATTGCAATATCTTTTCACAGCAGCCAAGCGCGTGATCGTGCGTTCCTGGCGGGGGCCCCTACTCTTTCTTATCGTCGTTTTCTTGACGCTATGTTCTGACTGCCCGTCAGGTGGATACGCTCCCTAAATTTGAGGCAGTGTGAAATCCCTGTATAGGAAGTAAAAGAAACAGGTCACCAGCACTCGATTAGAATAAATATGTCCTTTTTAATGGACAATTGTGTCACTACAATCAACAGAGCCGACGTTTCGTGGCCGCGTCACAATTTTACTGCCTTGAAGAAGGGACCCTGTGCGGCCTCGAAACGTCGGCTCTGTTGATTGTAGTGACACAATTGTCCATTAAAAAGGACATATTTATTCTAATCGAGTGCTGGTGACCTGTTTCTTTTACTTCGTATTTTGCACGGTGCCATCCGTGATAGTCATTGCGAGCACCATCGTTCTTATTTGGCCGGGACTGCTGTAAGGTGTGCGGAGAGGACCCCCACCACCTGAATCCCTGGATTGATCATTTTTTACCCTCGGGGTTCCAACAGACTTCCCTGACTAAGACAGCGCCGGTATGCTGTTTTTTAGGGGTCGCCGGGGAGATATAATCCCCCAATTTCCTTTCCCGCCCTCTCTTCTTCCTCGTTTCTTCTTGATTGGTCCCCTCTCATCATTGCCCCCGATTCTGTTAGGAATATGATGTGGACCATTTCCATGAGGACATTTATATGCTATTCTTGTTTTGGTCTGAGAGGACAATTTCATTGTTTGCTTCACATCTCTACCTTCTGAAGGTGCACTTTCTAGACACGTGCGATTCGTTTTGTTCCGAATCAAAATTCGGACGAATGTTCCGAAATCTGGACATTTGGACACATCCGAATTTCCGAACCCCAATGCATCTGAATGCGTCCAAATCCGAATTTCCGTTTCCGAATCCCATCCGAATTTTGTTCAAAAACTAAACTGAATGGGACATGTGACTTTTCTGGCCAATCAGATGTGTTTTTTTCTGTTTAATGCATCAGAATGGGTCTGAACACGAATTTGCGTTACGGCAACCTGGGAGCCATATACAGTATATACCTATAATACTAAAGCTGAGGCTCCCAGACCCCAATGGCCTTTGTGATCCGAATTTCTGAATTGTATTGGGGAACTCCTGAGTGTCATTCGGGTCTGGGAGTGATATACATACTGTATATTACTATATTACTAAAGCTGAGGATTCCAGACCCAAATGACACTCAGGATCCAAATTTCTGAATTGCGTTCAGGAGCTCCCCCTGAATGCCATTCGGGTCTGGAAGCCTCAGCTTTAGTAACATATGTATATGGCTCCCAGACCCCAATGACATTCGGGAACTCCCCCAATACAATTCAGAAATCCGGATCCCGCATGCTATTCGGGTCTGGGAGCCTCAGCTTTAGTATTATATGTTTATGGTTTTCTGGGGCATTCGTAACGAATATTCATAAACTCATCCGCAACTAACGCAAATTCAGATTTCGTCCGCATCCGAAACCCGAACCAAATTAAATTTCTGATCCGAATCCCGAAATAACCGAACTTCATTTTTCTGCAGCTTCCATGTCTGGCACTTTGCATATTTGGTGTGTGTGACTCTATAATGCTTACGTGTTCATCACACCCATTTGGCCTGTTTTGCTTTCTACATGTCTATGTTTCTTTGCGGTGTTGTTGCTGGCTACGACTCTCCTGCTTTTGTGGGCACACGTGAAATTTGAAAATTTAATAACAAATTTATTGCACAAAAAACAGGGATATTAATTAAAAAATAAAAATAAAACTAATCCATATATTTATTTTTTTATATAACACCAGATATACATTTTTTGTATTATTATTTTTTTTTACAAAATAGACCTTGTAAGACGAGGGAGCTAAAATACAAAATATATATTTTCAAGATTTGGTTTTGTACCCCAAACAATTTATTGAAGAAAAAGGATTGCACACCAATGTCCACCAACTTTTAACTTTATTCCATGACTACAACTTCAAAGGGGACGGGGTTCCCCGCCCAAACACCGCCCACTCTGATGCGTTTCACCCTTACGGGCTTAGTCGTAGTTTATATTCAAATTCACTGAAGCCATTTTACACCCCTCACTGCAGTCCAACCTAAACTGATGAAAATACATCATGGTTATAGTTACCTTTAATCACAACTGGGTTCACGTCACAGGGGAGGGCCATGGCAGGAGGCCGGGTCTGTGAGAAGCAGAGGTGCTGATTGGAGCCATGACAGGAGGTGGGGTCTGTGAGAAGGCAGAGGAGCTGATTAAAGCCGTGGCAGGAGGCGGGGTCTGTGAGCAGATGAGGTGCTGATTGGAGCCATGACAGGAGGCGGGGTCTGTGAGAAGGCAGATGAGCTAATTAAAGCCATGGCAGGAGGCGGGGTCTGTGAGAAGCAGAGGTGCTGATTGGCCATTGATGGAGAGGCTGCCAGTCATTGGCTCTGCAGGCATTTAGATCTCTATTGCTCATGTACATAACTGACCACAATCTGTGTATTCTGGACTGTGCTAGCATAGAATCTGCTACTCACAGGACTGTCACAAAAGAGAACATCAGTATAGAAACTGGAGAGACTTTCAGTATTTACTATATCTGCCATGCATCTATCAGCACTCATTGCCTGACTAGAGAGACTTCCAGGATTTACCATACCCAGCATGAATCTACCTGTCAGGAGCCAGATCTGAACCCAGGGCCTCTGCTGTAGCTGGCAGTGGTTCTACCTGCTGAACCTTGGATAGCTCCTTGCCTGATCTCCTGTGTAATCCTCAGGTAAACTTAGTTTCTGCTGAACTCTGACCTCCTTGCTCCTCCCTTGAACTTCCTATTTAAGCCACGCCCTCTGCACTTCCTGTTTGTCAGATTATTGTGCTCCTGCCAATATCTTGCTTCCTTGCTCCGCCTGTGATACAATCTGCTCATACTGCTACCCGTGTACCGACCTTTGGCTGCTGATTCACCGACTACTCTCATTGTCTTCCACTTCATAGCTGATACCTTTGGCTACTGACCTCGGCTTGTTCGCTGACTACGCTTCTGCCTGCTCCTATACTACTACCGTCTGCTTGTGTACCGAACTAGGCCTGTTTGACTACGACTTTGCCTGCTGCTACAGGACTCTAAGCCTGATCCAGATCGTGACACTACCTGCACTCATTGGCTGACTGGAGAGACTTCCAGGATTTAACATACCTGGCATGAATCTACCAGCACTCATTGGCTGACTGGAGAGACTTCCAGGATTTAACATACCTGGCATGAATCTACCAGCACTCATTGGCTGACTGGAGAGACTTCCAGAATGTAACATACCCGGCATGAATCTACCTGCACTCATTGGCTGACTGGAGAGACTTCCAGGATGTAACATATCTGGCATGAATCTACCAGCACTCATTGGCTGACTGGAGAGACTTCCAGGATTTATCATACCCAGCATGAATCTACCAGCACTCATTGGCTGACTGGAGAGACTTCCAGGATTTATCATACTCTGAATCTACCAACAGCTGTTGATAGCTGTTGATAGCAGAAAAATCTTCCAAATGAAAAGAGAACAGCAACAATGAAGAAAACACATCCAATCTCCTGAGGACGCTAGCAAAAAGATGAGGCATGATGGTTCTGGGCCAGGCTATCCTGTGCTGGCTAACATTTTTGTTGTTGCCAGTGTCAATATCTTCTGTAGTGGGCCGTATAACCCTCATAGTCTAGGAATACCTGTGTCCCTCAATGGACAAGAAAATACATTTAATGATGTATTATGACCACAGAGCCGGATGAGTCTGTCCTTGGAGTTCAGCTTGAATAACTGCTTGTAACATTTTAAACTTTCACAATCTTCTTTAAAACATTGTTTGATATTTTACTAACAACTAAAATGTTTGTACAGGAAGTTCCAATGGTTGTTAGATACCACCCCATGTTACAACGATCTTTAGAATGAGGACATTTTGAACACATCCACTCCCTGGGATCTCATTGTGTCCAAATATAAAAACGTGTCCAAATATATTAAAATAAACTCCCTGGTTTAAGCAATTTAAAGCTGTGAAAAAAAGTCTGTTGAAGATATATATTTCCAGTAGCAAATCAGAGCCGTCCCTGTAAAATCAGGACAATTCCTACTAGCCAATCGCTATTACCCATCTCATGGTCTTCTTCATCATAAGTCCAACCTCAATTGTCCATATAAATGAGATTCTCCCCCGATAGTGTCTTCTGTAAGCATCCATCTTGCATTCCTTAACGTCAATCTCATTCTTATCGCTTCCATGAACCCGCAATTGTTCCCCGGGTTGACAAAGCGTTGCTGACCATTGACAACACCAGTAATGGTCTTCGAGATGGCAAGAGGATCCATCACGAAACGAACACATCCCTTTTAATAAATACGTTCACACTTTTTAAAAATATATAATTGTCGCCAACAAAACTTATATTCGTTCTCGAACGCTTCTCTAAATTCCTCCAATTTGGCACTTTACAGAACGTTTAAAGCAAAGTTCTCATGGTTTGCATTGTCCGATAGGAATGTTCTAGATCCTGGGTGTTCTTGATTTCTAGTTTTTACATAACACTTGCTTAGTAGCTGGTCTTATTTTTAACACACAGCTCAGTCATTATCATTGCTCCTGGCCACCCTCACCATCGGACCATCGAATCGGTTCTCCTCGAGCTGATTTCACTGGCAGACGGCTGAAGTGACCCCTGGAGTAAGCTGTATTTGAAACTTCTGAGTCTTCTCCTTCCTGGGAGACTTCATCACCGGTTCGCCCATCTACATCTAGAAAGAGAGACAATAGTTACCAGAAATGTGTTCTGATACTGATGATCACCTGGGATGGGTCTCATTTCTTCAGTCATGGTCTAGCTAGTAGTTGTTTGTTAGATTCATACAATCTGAGCAAGCCACTTGGATGAGTCTTCAACATTACGTTACCTATAGAGTGACTGCTAGATGAATGAAGCTTAACAACTTCTAGTTGTGATTCATTCATTTTGTATCAAATCAAACATTAAAAAGGTGTTTTTCACTCTGGTCTTTCACAACAAACATATAGGCTGGTATCCTATAGAAAGCCTTGGTGCCCTCTGCTGTGCCAATACCTAAATGCCTATTGGATAGGTGTGCACCAAGAAGGAACCAAACACAAATGGGCCTTCCTCTTAGAACATGAGCTCTGGAAAGGAAAGGAAAATGCCAGTAATTGTTGAAGATATATGCACGTAAAGTTGCCAAACCCTGCCCAAGGCCATTAGCAGGGCTTTATTGGCAATCCGTTAAATGATTTCACAATCGTTACATGGGAATTTGAGCACGGCAACCTACCCAAATCCCAACAACCAGTCTTGAGTCTGGCTGAGTCTTCTCCAGGAAGAATGTTCTATTTTAGTTATGAATAGAGTGAGGAATGATTAGAACCCCTATGAGGTTTTATTGATCTCTGTGGACTTGTTGGGGATATTTCTGCCCCCTTTTCTCTTCCAATGACTATGACACAAATGGGCCTTCCTCTTAAAACATGACCCCAGTTCTGAAGGGAACCAGACACTTCCATACCTCCAGCGCCCCAAGAAGGAAAATGCCAGTAATTGTTGAAGATATATGCAAGTAAAGTTGCCAAACCCTGCCCAAGGCCTGTAAGTAAAGTTGCCAAACCCTGCCCAAGGCCATTAGCAGGGCTTTATTGGCAATCCGTTAAATGATTTCACAATCGTTACATGGGAATTTGAGCACGGCAACCTACCCAAATCCCAACAACCAGTCTTGAGTCTGGCTGAGTCTTTGTAAGATACGTGTTAGTGTATCTCCAGGAAGAATGTTCTATTTTAGTTATGAATAGAGTGGGGAAGGATTAGAACCACTGTGAGGTTTTATTGATCTCTGTGGACTTGTTGGGGATATTTCTGCCCCCTTTTCTCTTCCAATGACTATGACACAAATGGGCCTTCCTCTTAAAACATGACCCCAGTTCTGAAGGGAACCAGACACCTCCATACCTCCAGCGCCCCAAGAAGGAAAATTTAATTGTTGAAGATATATGCAAGTAAAGTTGCCAAACCCTGGCCAAGGCCTGTAACAGGGCTTTATTGGCAATCCGTTAAATGATTTGACAATCATGACATGACATGACAAGCCTTGAGCACCGCAACCTATTCCAAATCCCAGCAACCAGTCTAATATAGTTACCTAGTATTTGAGGTTGAATAAAGACACAGGTCCATCAAGTTCAACCTTTGTGTGTCTGTATGTGATTGTGCATGTGTGTGTGTGTGTGTACACAAGTCCCTGTGTGGTCTAGTTTTTTGACACAAATGGGCCTTCCTCTTAAAACATGACCCCAGTTCTGAAGGGAACCAGACACTTCCATACCTCCAGCGCCCCAAGAAGGAAAATGCCAGTAATTGTTGAAGATATATGCAAGTAAAGTTGCCAAACCCTGCCCAAGGCCTGCAAGTAAAGTTGCCAAACCCTGCCCAAGGCCATTAGCAGGGCTTCATTGGCAATCCGTTAAATGATTTCACAATCGTTACATGGGAATTTGAGCACGGCAACCTACCCAAATCCCAACAACCAGTCTTGAGTCTGGCTGAGTCTTTGTAAGATACGTGTTAGTGTATCTCCAGGAAGAATGTTCTATTTTAGTTATGAATAGAGTGGGGAAGGATTAGAACCACTGTGAGGTTTTATTGATCTCTGTGGACTTGTTGGGGATATTTCTGCCCCCTTTTCTCTTCCAATGACTATGACACAAATGGGCCTTCCTCTTAAAACATGACCCCAGTTCTGAAGGGAACCAGACACCTCCATACCTCCAGCGCCCCAAGAAGGAAAATTTAATTGTTGAAGATATATGCAAGTAAAGTTGCCAAACCCTGGCCAAGGCCTGTAACAGGGCTTTATTGGCAATCCGTTAAATGATTTGACAATCATGACATGACATGACAAGCCTTGAGCACCGCAACCTATTCCAAATCCCAGCAACCAGTCTAATATAGTTACCTAGTATTTGAGGTTGAATAAAGACACAGGTCCATCAAGTTCAACCTTTGTGTGTCTGTATGTGATTGTGCATGTGTGTGTGTGTGTGTACACAAGTCCCTGTGTGGTCTAGTTTTTAAGAGTACCTGTCCCCCTGTATGTTACGGTCTCTGAGGAAGGCATCTAAATGCTTTTTGAATGATTCAATACTCTCCGCTGATACCACTGCTTGTGGCAGAGAGTTCCAGACTCTAACCACTCTGACTGAGAAGAATCCCCTACGCCCCTTGTGGTTAAATCTTTTCTCCACCAGTTTTAGGTGGTGGCCTCTAGTCCTTGTTATGGAGTTTACCATAAACAGTTTATTGCTGATGTTACCATCACCACTAAACATTTTGTACATCAAAATCATGTTTCCTCCTAATCTCCGCACTTCCAGCGAGAACAAGAGTCTTGAGTCTGGCTGAGTCTTTGTAATATTTGTGTCAGTGTATCTCCAGGAAGAATGTTCATTTTCAGTTATGAATAGAGTGGGGAAGGATTAGAACCCCTATGAGGTTTTATTGATCTCCGTGGACTTGTTGGGCATATTTCTTCCCCCTTTTCTCTTCCAATGACAACATTACCACAGAAAGAAGGTTAAAGGAGAACTATGGGGGTCAGGGCTTTTACCCATAATTCTCCTAAGGGTAACGGGAGGACACAAGCTAGCGTCCTCCCGTCACCCTAAGCTCGGTATACCGCGAGCTACAGCTCCCGGTATACTGAGACGCCGGAGCGGATCCCGACATTGCTGTCGAGATCCACCCAGCTGCGGGATGGACAGATAGCTCTGCCTATCCAGAGGCAGAGCCAGCTGTACCCGCCCCCTCCCCCATCCGTTCCGCCAGTCAGCGCTGGAGGAATCGGACAGGGGAGGGGGGGAATCCCTGCACGGAGTCGTGAGTGACAGTCACGGCTCTCTGCACGGCTAGATCGAGAAGTGAGCGAACGCCGGTATGTGTTCTCTCACCTCCCGATCTACTGAGCCGACCTGTGACAGTCTCATTGTCACAGGTCGGCTCAGATTATGAGGCTGAGTAAAAATCACTCGCCTCATAATTCTCCTTTAAGGGGAAATCTCCAACACAGAAACACACAAATACATTTAAAAAATACCCTTTTTAAGTAGAAAAGGGGGGAGCCTAGAACCCCCATCAGATTTTTATTGCCGTTTTGGCTGGAATTACAATTTAATGGGCTCACTTGTAACAAGAAAATGGGAAATAAACCTTCAAAATCACCAACACCGATGCCTGGGGCACTGAATGGGACATGTAGGAATTCAATGTGACCTCCAAACTGGGATAACGTGGCCAAATTCACTGAATTTAAATGATCACGAAATGAAGAAGCCCCCCACGATTTATGTAAGAGGGAGGGTGGTTTGGGTTTTGGTGATGTTGTATGCAACCATGCTTCATGTTACAACCTCAATATGTGTGTAACATGACATGAAACACGGTCTAAAACTTCCACTAAGACTTTACAAAATGTCCGGAGGTTCAATGGTAAAATTCATATCGAAATGATAATGAAAACATCCCCCGATATGCAGCATTTTACAGCTATCCAGGATGACAGGGCAGTGGGCCCTCAACAGAATCTCAGAAGCAGCCACATGTAACTCTCCCAGGCGCCTCTGCACAGGTGTTGATGGAGGCAAAGCCTTTATCTGAACATTCCAACCAAACGTGAAATATGACACAGAAGACCTCATTTAATACACAATGAATTGCAATATGAGCACCCCTAGTGCAATGAATTGGGTTTAAACCACTACAGCAAAATAGGAATTTACCTGACGGCCGAGGACAAGATTCAGAACCCTCGGCAGGACCCTAAAACAGATTACCAATATAGGATTACTTGTATGTAAAAATACTTCCATATATTATAGTATTATTATATTTATTCTGCATGGAGGTCGCATGTACTCCCGTGGCTTGTGTGGGTTTCCTGCGGGTACTCCAAAGACACGCTGGAAGGTTAATTGTCTTCGGTCCAATTTGGCCCTAATACTCTATATGTGTGCATGTGCTGTAGATGAATATCCCCTTTCTTTACAATAAAGTGAAGACCCCTTAACTTCTTCTGGCCACACCTTAAAGGAACTATGAGGTGAGTGCTTTTCACTCACCTCTTAGTTCTAGCCGCTGTAGCTCCCTATATACTGAGCCTAGGGTGACGGGAGGACGCTAGTTTGTGTGCTCCCGTTACCCTAAGGAGAACTATGGGGAAAAGCCCTGACCCCGTAGTTCTCCTTTAACTATATAACTATATATTATTTTTTTTTAAGCATGTATTTCTTTATTAGGTTTCAAAAATGAGTATACAAAAGTATAACAAACAGTTGTGCGTTGGTATTCAAATAAGAATATACACAAAAAGACCCAGCCGGGTTCTTGTCTTATGCTTAGTACACACTATCATCTTATGAATATATAATAGTAAAAACAAAACTGTAACTGTCCGTCACTGGGAAGAACATTGATAGCATGGAGATATTAAGAACGATCCTATAACCATTTCAATGTACAATATACTGTATCAAGTAAGTATATGACTAATGTTCAAAGATATCGGTATAATAGAAGGAGGGAGGGGGGCATGAAGTATGAGTAGATCAAATAAATACCATAGCTTAAATGGATTCGGTTGCAATGCAAAGCGTATTACTTAGTAGGAGGGAGTTCACCTGGGTGTGAGCGTGAAAGGAGGAGATAGGAAAGTAGATGTTGGTCCATTAACAGGGGTGGGAGCTAGAGATCTTGTTTTGCAGTAGGTAGGCCTTTCCTTTCCTGGGACCCTGTTACAGAAGTAAAAGCAGTGAGTCCCATGTCAAAGGGCAGCACCTGCGTTCTATGAGGGTGGCTGATTAGCTGTCTCTGCCTGAACGCCTGGTTTCGGATTCGGACGAGTTTACGAATACTTATTGCGAATACCACAGAAAACCATTTACAGGTATTAATACTAAAGCTGAGGCTCCCAGACCCGAATGGTATTCAGGATCCAATGCCTCCCCAAAAAGGGAGGACTGTGCTGGACAGAGCTGCCATCACCAAGTAAAATGATGTCTTTGAGGCTCACGTCTCCGGGTTATGTAAGGAGAGCCGTAAGAGAGCGCGGCACAGCCAGCGGATGATGTTTTACGCACAAATAAGCCGATATAATACAAGAAAATAAGTGCCCCCCGAACACACCGAGCACAGCACTTCACATGAAATCAAATATTAAAGTCAGCGTTATTATACAGAGCGGAAAAACAGAAGAGGAGGAGAACCAGAGGAGACCGGAGAGTTCAACGGCAACTTTCAGCCGACTCCGAAAAGTCTCTGTGTTTCTTCTGACGGAGGACAACTAAAGAAGAACCTCAAAGTGAAGAAGTCCTTTCCTGAAGTCCTTCTGTCTGTACCCCCATTGCTGCTTTACCCTGAAGAATGAGACTATGGGGGTCATTCACAAGGCTACTGAAGGCAGCCGAGTGAATAACCCGGCCGTAGTGAACAGAGCTCGGCTATTCACTTCTGGCTTGTGCGGCTGATTTCAGCCATACATCAGCTGCCTTCGGCTGCACTTCAGTCAGCCGAACATGCTCTACAGAAGGACT